GGGGGGGGAGGCGGGAAGGAGACGCTCGTTCGCTTTAAATCCGCAGGACTGTTGCCGTGCTCATAAACTATCGAAGAAACAAAAAAAACGGTCCGACCGCGGTCTAATTCCTTCTCTCTCTGTGTGTCCCTCTCAAGGATATACCGGCAAACAAACCAGTTGCGGCGGCACCCTCACTCTTTTTCGTTCTCGTTTTTTTTTACATCGCGTACGCTCTTGTGCCTTCGGTAAACCATCTCCGCTGGAGGTGGCTTCAATCACGGCGACTTCGTCAATACAAAAACAAGGCCAGAAAAAATGCAACCCTTTCTGCAAGGCCTCCTAACCTCCCTCTCTGGTGTCTGAACAAGCAGAGAAGGGACCTAGATTCTGGACGTCGCACCAGGGTCACTATTTCGCTCCGTGAGCATCATGGGTCTCATTCGCCTCCAGAAGGTTCAATCGAATTACAGCAGTGGGGGGCCTTCAACACCGCCGGTACGTGCCCGGCGACTCGACCGGTGCTATTCAGAGAATCCCGTGCTATTTAAAGCACATAATTACTTGGTGATTTCATGCAGTCTGTGCCCAGCGATTTCACCAGCGCCATACAGGGCCACCGGCGTTGTTCAATCGGCGTCGTTGATGAGCCCCCTGCTGTAACCATGTCTCCAGGCACTCCAGACGAATAGGAACATACATCCAGGCGGAGCAAGTTCCACACGGAGACACCACGCACCCGATCGTGAGGCCTGTACGAAGGCGCCTCTTTCTCTAGCTAGTGCTTCTCGACCACGGCCATGCGGCGACACGGTAATCATCAACTACGAGGGCGACATCAATCGACCGATGCACAATACATGAATAGGAAAATACTGTCAGCTTTCGTGCCACCACGTGCCAAATAAACACGGCGATGGCGACAACCACGGCGACGGTAGCAACGCGTGCAGCAGCGGCACCAGCAACAACAACAACCCCAACCAAACGATGTAAGCACCACCAAACAATGACGCCAACAACACCAAAAGAGAAAACGATGGACGGGACTCGCCTTGAACCTTTCCAGCTCCTGCTCCTCCTCCTCCTCGTCCAGGTCGGGGGCCTTCGCAATGCTCAGGGTCCGCTTCAGGACCATCTTGGACGCCCTGCCACTAATCTTGACCCCGTTTGGCTTTAGTAAGCCAAAACCCTCCGCTGCCCGCTTCTGCTACTTGAACACCGCCGCGAAGCCCACCCTCTTCCAGTAGAGCTAATTTCCGAGATTGTCCTCTGTGGGATGGGTTCTCCCGCAACCAACAAGGGGCGAAGAAAGCCTGTCGGAGTTGAAAGCCGTCGGTCATCATCGGAGGAGGCGTCAGCTCGTCCGCTGCATGATTGGTGTGGTAACTACGCTTTCCCTCAAACTTGGTCACGCATGAAATGGACGGCAGTGTTTACACATACCAAAACATGTTGTATGCGCAGGATAGAACCGGAAAAGCAACTTTGCTTGTCGTGCGTCTTGTCGCTTTTTCGACCGCACGCTAGTGGACTTGAACCAACTCCACGGTTTGCAAGACGAAGACAACAACAACAAAATACTTCCAGGACATTGTATGCATAGCCCGCCATCAAACTGGAGGGGGGGGCAACCAATAGAATAACGGGGGGGGGGGCGCCGGGGAGAGGAAACCTGACGGATGACAAGCCCCGGCCAAAATCGAACAGGGTGCTGGATTTGGACTCGGCTGGTGCACGAGAGAATGAACACTGCACGAGCATGCATAGCAAAAAAAACCGCGGCCTGTGAGACGTGAAGGTTTGCATGCCTGGCCTTTGGCATTTCCTTTGGCCAGCGTCGTGTCGCGAGTCAGGCACACGAAAGTGTCATGATGAAGGCGCCCATGAGTTGAAGGGCACAAGCTGGCCGTCGGTCGTAAGAACGACAGTAAATCTCGAGAAACACCCGTTCCTTCTTCAGTAGAGACAAGCAGCGATGATGTCCAACGACGAAACGCATGTCGGCTCGGCAAGCCTGTAGCTGAGAGTGATTTGCGCTGAGTATTAGCAGCAAGCAGCCGCAGCGATAGTAACAGCAGCAACACTGCATGGGCGAGTTGCATCTTCGGTGCTGAGGTGTCAAGCACGCGGTACGCGCGGGACTGTTAGAAATGTCGTCCAGTTGCTTGCCGCAAGACACACACCGCCGGTAAATCATTACAGCCAAATCACACCGCCTTCGGAACAGACGGAAAAAAACTTGAACTTCTTTCTGGAAGATAAATACGCCGGCCCCAAATTTTTGGTTGGGTTTGTAAGCCCCCAAGGTTGCATTTGTTTACGCTGCATAACAACCAACATAAAGCAAGCAGAATTCAGAGAAACTTGTAAGCATGCGTGCCTCGTGCATAGCTGTGGCCGAAGGGGTTCACGCCAAATCACAGCCTGCACCCTTCGAGCTGCCGTTGCAACCGATGAGCACAACCCTTACCCAATACCATAGACATTAACGAAACGGCACATCGCGCACCTGGCTTCAGGGTGAGAACACTCTTTATGGTCACTGTGGTGCTTGTTGGTCTCGTCCTCGTCCGCTGTGACGCACCGTGTATACAGACGGCGGGAGCATTTGACCTACGGACACTTGAGGGATCGACCCCCGGGCATTACATACAGCAACCTTCGGTGGAGAATGCGGCACCGCCCACGAAGCAGATGCTCGGAAACAGCAAGCAGTGAGATAGATGTGAGCTGCACGACCTCCTGCACCACGAACCGCAGACACCCCTCGCGGTGCTTTCTCCCTCGGCGCTGTCTCTCCTCTGCTCGGGCGTCCGCTTTGCACCACCGTTCAAGGCTACAGAGCGAATCAACTTCCACGAAACGAATCAAGCCTTCATTGCGCCCGCACAGCAGCCAGCTCACCTTCCCTGTTTGTCGAAAATGGGGCTAGCTCGGCGCTGCCTACGAGAAAGCCACGTGCAAGACTCCTGGAGCGGCCCAGCGTCGGCGTTGGGGTACACTTGGCACCTGGCCCCTGCTCTTGTCTTACGGCAGTGGTGATGGCTGATGCGGCGGAATGACGGAATTCGGTCTATTGTCGGAGATCCGGGTTTCTATGAGAACTACGCATATCTGAAACCGTTTCGTAGACCGTCTCTTCGGAGACTGCTCTCGCCAGCGTTGGGATGGGGCAAGCTAGACCACGCCTGCTGTGCTGGGCACCGTTGGGGACTGAGGTGTGGCTACTCGTAGAGGTGGCTCAATTACCATGAATTCCCTTTTTTTCGATTACCCGTGCAAGGGAGACGGGCGCAACGAGCGAGGAGCTGTGACGACGGATCTTGCTTGGTGCAAGTCCGAGAATCTTTTGGCCTGCGCCCTGGATAGCGGGAGAGTGGCAGTTTATCAAGATGAGGTGCGGTTATGGGATGCGTTCACTTGGCCATAAATCGCATGTCGGCGTTGGGTTCTGTAGCTTTGGATCACCAGAGACATGGAGCGCAGAAGGTTACACGTAGATTCAACACACATAGTCCCCGCCGCCTCTTTAGGAAGCAACCAAATCGAACCATGATGTAGATACTGCCGCACAGCCAACACTTAGAAGTGTGCCCAAGCACCCGTTCATGGCGCCAACATTTTCGCGATCTTGACTTTTGGTTTATATTCGTGCGATCGTCTACAGGGAGTACGTAGTGGAGCGCAGACTGTAGACACCATTGGTTCATTTTGGATGACATGGCCGGGGTCACACATGTAGAATATTCTTGCGTTCCTTGCCTTCAACAAATTTATTTCATACTCCGATTCCCGCTTCCCGCATGCCTATTATCCGTGAAAATCCAGAAATATGCGGGAATTCCCGCCTTTTGAGTTTGAAAGCGGTGCCGGGCTGTTCGTTTTTTCGACGCGGGAATCCCGTCTCGCTGGCGTGTGTTTTCGTATAGACTAAAGAGTCAATTCCCGCATGATCGTACAGTAGGGGGCCCTCTATGGTACCGGTATGTGTTCAGAGAGCAAAGCGGCACTTTACCGGGCACCGGCAGTATTCAGTAAGGGGCCCTCTATAGTGCCGGACCGGCACTATTGAGGCTTCGGATTTACCTCAATAGTGCCGATCCGGCACTATTGAGGAGGTGTTGATTTCATGATGCAGCGCTCAAGCTTTGTGGGGCCAACAGAGTACGATGTCGATCGTGGATCGAATATGTGTGTATTACCGTGGACGTATAAGTCCTCGTTGCCCTCCTTCGATGTTGCCAGATAAAACAAGACAACAGAGAACCACGACACGAAGCGCACCGCACGAAAAATAAACGACCATTACATACTACCACAGATATTCTCCCCGCCCTCACTACGTAGCAGCAACTCTCTCATGTTTGCCTGGCGCACCCCTTGGATGTTGCAAGAAAGAATCAAAACAACCCGAAGAACACAAGCACTACAGGAAGCGCACCGCGAGAAAAAAAAACAACTATTGCTACCTACCACAGCTGTGCCCGCCGCCCTCGCAACGCAGCAGCAACTCCCTCATGTCTGCCTGGCGCACCCCCTTGGATATTACAAGAAACACACAACAAAACGAAAAGCACGACAGGAAGCGCACCGGAAGACAAGCAAACAACCATTGCTACAACACCTGTACTCCTCAACCTTACTCCGTAGCAATAACAAACTCTCTCATGTCTGCCTGGCGCGCCCGCTTAGCGGAATGCGCTGCAATCATCGCCATCTTCGCTTTCGTTAGGAAGAACGCCGCGTCTCCGTTGCCACTCTCATCTGCTGCTGTGTGTGTGTGTGTCCACAGCCGTAGTGAACCGGCACTATTGGGGGGCACAGCGGCGCCCAACCGGCACTATAACGGGCCCGCCCTCAACAGTGCCGGACCGGCACTATTGAGGGCGCTGTCTGTGTCCAGAAATTTTACCGGCACTATACCGGGCCCCGGCACTATTCAACCGGCACTATAGAGGCCCCCCTACTGTAATTGGTGCTCTGGAGCACCAAATACAACAATTCCCGCGGCAGAACTTTGTGACAGAGATGAACCAGACAGCCAGCATCTTCTTACAGCAGGAGACAACAATAACCCACCTCTGTTTGCCATACCAAGTCTCAGGGAACACAAAATATGAGCATAAAGCTGATATCGTCAGCCGCATGACAGGCACAATGTTGTACTACTATGCGGCAGACTGTGCGGGCGCTTGGGTGCACACCTAGCGCGCTGAGGCGCAAGATGCATGCGTCCCTTCCCCAGTGCGCAGTCAGTCGTGTTTGCGGCATCGCCAGACCTTGTTGGATGTACTCACAGCATTGACCGACTACTGCAACCGCCGAGGGACGTTCCGAGAAGAGGGAGCGGGGAATATTGGGGGTTCTGCAGTTGTGATAAACTGGGGGAATGGTGGTACAATCTTTGCCACATATTGTTTTTTTCTGGGTATTCATGTCTGCAACGGTGTTGGCCACGTGCCCTTGCTTCCTTTTCCCCGCTATCAGCCCTGGGCTATCACGACCGACCGTGTCCAAACTACATATCCACCAGCTATCATGCTGCCAGGCTGTCACGCCCTTAGACTATCACGCCATCACAACAGCTATCACAACACCAGCGCCAACACATCAGAGCCATCACCCTCTGGAACATCACGGATGCGGCGGGTCACCACACCCGTGGGCAATTAACCGTATTTTATCGTTGCCGGCAAACTCGCCGCGCGGTTCTTTTATTTTTGCCTCCTACAACTGCTGTGTTGCTCCGCAGAAGATTTCCTCTAGTTTGCTTTTGTTGCATTCGCAACTAAGCTCTTCACCTCTGAATTGCGAGTTTTTTCGCTCCCGGAAAGATTCGAACCCACCACCTACCTCGTCGAGCCAGGAAGAAGATTTGACGATCAGTCTTCATGTAGACTACGTTCAGACATTGGCACCAAAAACGGGATGATAGTGGTGTATGCAAGACATCAATAGGTAGTAGTGGTACAGCGTCTGTCTACAGTAGACTCTGTTGAAGTGTGGGTGTGTGCTTGTCGGCTCCAGAACATACCGCTATAGTGTCATTATTTCGTCCATGGGCGCCAGCCTCGCAGAGAAGGATGGAGACTGCACCAGCATTCTCAAGCTGTACTCTTGCTCTCTAGTCTGTTGGAATATCTACAGATGCTGTTGAGTGTACCAACTCCTGCACTAAGTAGACTATTCCATATCCGTTTGTATCTAAATCTTCGCGCGCCCATCGAACTCGGATCAGAACAACAGCAGATCGTGCTCCTCCACGAACCTCTGTTGGCACACTACAAGCTTCTCGCAGATCTCATGTACCCATGGACATTAAGACGTGCACGCAGCACGCATACACCATTTAAGGAACCAAATGAATGGACACCGACAACCGCAAACGAGGTTGCCGTTGTACACATTTCGCCCTCCTCTGAACCTTGCTGTTCGTAACTGATTGACGGGTGGGATATCGGGTCGGGACAGGGGGCTGAGGTTGCGGCGGCATCAATCGCAAGGGGAAACAGGCAGAGGGCGAGCGTCATGGACTGGTCGCCAAGGGGGCGGGTGAGATGTGCAAAATTGTTTTCACACTCGATTGTACTTCCTTAGCAAAATAAGGCTATCGACTAGCAGAGCATGTATACACAAAGTGCATCGTCGGACTACAAGGCGAAAACAACGTAAGTGACAAATGTTTAATGAGCTGCTTGTGTGATCGGAGGGGTGGGGTCTCACAAATGTCCTGGCTTCGCGGCTACGTTGATTCTGTCGCCAGGAATACCCTGTGCTCTTGCACATTCACCTACCGCAGCACTGTCGCCTACAAAAACTGGCCTTTCCCAAGCTGACCGAATATTGGTGCCGCAAACGTACCGAACCGTGACGCATATCCTAGTTTGCCGTTGCAAGTTGTTCCGCCCCCCCCATCGCTGTCTACCTGCCTGCCTTCCCGATTTTTTCTTCGTTTCCCGATAACTATATGCCCACTCGTGTGCTGTGTTAATTTTGCAGCTCCTAGCGATAGGATGGGTGGATGGGCAGGTCTCGACATGGAACGTAATGGAGCCTCTACAAGGAGACACCTCTATCTGCGCTTGCTCCAACCAGGGGGTGCACAAGCAGCCTATCACCGTCGTGCTTTGGAACCCTTCGGGAACACGCCTTGTCACAGGAGACAAAGTGAGCAGAGACGTCCGCACAGTTGGTACATGTTTTGGTCAATGAAAGCGTTGCCGTGCTAGAGTGTACCTGCCGATTATTTTGGTGTCGTCCGTGCAGGCATTTGGAGTAGAGGCGGGTATAAAAGGCCACTGAAGCCACCCCCTGTGCTGAGAGCTCGTTCTTGAGCAGGAAATCGAAATTTGATGATATTGTGGTATCGAGCGATAGGTAAGATCACCCCCCGCCCACCTAAAAAACAAAAAAACAAAAATCGTCAACAGTGCGAAGGTAGGGCTGGAGCCGTAGACCTGAGCTGCAGGCGCCATTTTGAGAGAAAATTACCCCTGGGGGTAATAAAGGCCACTTTCATCATTGGTTGATTTCGTACGTTGGAAAGCGTTTCAAGACCCAAGATTTGGTGGTCATGCGTAAAATACAAAATACAATAGGAATGACAAAAAAGTAAGAAAAAACAAAAATTATTGACATTCGGGGATGAAAATGACGCATCCCCAGGTTTTCGACACCATGGGTAGGGATGGGTTTTTCCCTCCGTGACCTGCATTGCGTGCTCTGTGCGTTCGAAACGAGGAAGAACAACCAATTTGATGCATAAATGTGTTACTTCAGTCAGTAGACGACTCGAGAAAAAAAAAATCGCGGCGAAATGAGTTGTCTATGTAAAATGGTGCTTGGTCAAATATGGGTACTTTTTCCTGATTTAGCATGCCGCTAACGGTAAGAATTCACGCCGAACACGGCCAAACTGTATCCACCATTGAGGAATACTAATTCATCTCCACGACACAAACTTTGGAGGGGATCTTTAAACATGAGTGAGTAACATGTTCAGAAAAATAAAAAGCCACTCCGGGGACAGGACCACCGCGTTCCCGGGTTTTCGGCCAAAACCTGTGCATCCCTCCTCCCCCCGGTACAGGAACGCACGAAAGTCACCATCACATAGGGTGCGAACCACACGACGTTCTACAGGGTATGTTTCGACTGTACGCACAATCCCACGCCCATTGGAGCACACCTGATGATATATAAAAGGTTAAATAAGGATACTTTTTCCCGATTTTAGGCTTGCCGCTACGGTAAGAATTAACGCCGAAAACAACTGTAGATTCAAACCACCTTTACACCCCCGCGACGGGTGCTTCTGAGGGAACCTGTGAGCATGAGCGAAAAACATCTGTCGCAAAAAAAAAAAAAGACACACACAGGTCACCCGGGGACAAAATGATGACATCCCCGGGTTGGGTTCAAAACCTGTGCATCCTGCCCCCCCGGTGCTGGCACGCCCTAAACTCACCGTCGCATAGCCTGCGAACCATATGCGACGTTCTACAGGGTGCATATCGACTCCGGGTACAACTTCATGACCATTTGGGCGTGTTCGATTCAAATCTGAACCTGTCAGGACACGTGAGAAATATCCATACGGCTACACGTCGACAACGGGTGTCGGCGTCCGTTGTTGTCCAACCCTGGACACGGAGGGCGCTGGCTGACGTTTCGAAAAAGTCGTCCCTTCTGCTCCAGCCACTCGGCCGCGCCCCCCCACCCGGCCGCGCCCCCCTCCCTGCCACGCGCTCCCACCCCGTCTCCACGACCAACGCCGTGGCCCCCACCTACCTCCCCCCGCCCGCTCGTCTCACCATCCCCTTCCTCCATTGGCCATGCGCGCCTGCCGCAACAGCTCCGCGGCCGCCTTTGTTGCCCTCTTTTCTTCGCGGACTTTCGCCCTCGCAGCCTTCGCGTCGCTCTCCGCCTTGTCTGCGCGTTCTTTTTCGGCAACAGCGTCCAGGAACTCAGGCGCGGTAATGTTTCCTCCGTCGGGAAGGCCAAGCGAGCCCCGAGAGGTCGCCATCTTCTTCGCGTGCTTCCTTTGAGTCAAGAGGCCATCGAGTAACACCGTGCCTTCTCGGATTCCCGTGACGGTGTGCCCTTGCCCCTTCAGCACCCTGAGGGCCCTTTCTCCGATGTCTATTTCCAGCTGCTCGTTGAGGGCGGCGATGGGGACATCCTGTAGGGGTGGACGCTCGTCTCGCCGCTCTTTCTTGTTCGCTGTGCCCTTCAACTGGCCCAGCGCCCGCTCCTTGTTCACAGGCCACAAGCCCGCCCCAGCGAATGATGATTTATTTATCTCCGGTGCAAAGCTCAATTTCCAAGCATCCGCGATCACGCCGGGCATGTCGCGTTTCAGCGGCAACGACCCGCCGGAGTTGTGGTAGAAGGACGCCAAAACTCTGGTCACCGACTTCTTAAAGCGTCCGAAGGCGACGACATCCAAGGGCTGGGTGATGTGCGACGTGTGGGAGGGTAGCTGGAACGAGATGATTTTGAGATTCATGGCCAGCTTGCTTACCTCCACGCTCACGTGTGATGCATGTCCATCGAGCAAGAGTATGTGGGGTTTTCCGTCCAGCAACCCTCGGTCGCCGAGCTGCTTGTGGAAATCCTTCAAGTAGGCGATGAATACGTCTCCCTGCATGAACGAAGAACCCGTACAGGTGTACCTCGCACCCTCCGGGCCGTTTCGCTCTGCAAACCAATCGGTCTGAAGTCGTTGCCCTTTGAAGATGATGGTTGGTGCCAAAGTGTGATCATCAGCGCTGATGTTAGCGACCACGTTCGTCGCCGCAGGTTCCCTTGAACAACCAGCTGAAGACGATGCGATGCAGCTATGAAAATATTGAATTCTAGACTACCATAGTCTACAGCAGTACATTGTCTGGAACCAATGCTGTACTCTACTCTTGTGTCTGTAACTACTGCTGTAGCCTTCTTTAGACCAGAGCCAGCGGCAATTTCGGCATTTTTGAGCAGGAATGCGGGAGTACAGCCTCTGTAGTCTGGACTGCACCACAGCAGTGCATGAGGAGGCCAAAATTACGTCGCAAGGGGGCAGAACTCTGCCTGATATTTTCGTGTGACATGTTTCGTGGTCTTTGCATAGCAGTCACCCGCGCAGTTTCTACTGCTGCCACACGTCTACTACTGCTGTAGTCTACACTAGAATAGTCTACAAACGAATCTTCACCTGTCTCGTCCGTGTTGTGCACGTGGTTGGCCGCCGGTTTGACCTCGTCGAGCAGAGCTGCCCATCTCTCGTGGAACTGCACCATGCGAGGCTCCTCGTCTTCGGTCATCCTGTTTGCCTCGTAGATGCGAGTCGAGCGCTCCGCCACCCGTGGGTGCCTACGAAGGAAGCCCGCAAGCCAATCTTTCCCCGGACCCTCATCTGGATCCCAAATGATACGCCGACCGTCGTTGCAGAGTCGTCGCACCGCATCTCTGAGGTGAACCCGATCCACAGCCAAGAAGTTGCGAGCAGCAAACAGCAGAATGTCTTCCAGAGAATCCTCCTCTTCATTGCTCAGGATGGTCTCGGGACCAACCTTCGCGTTCATGGCCACCTTGCCACGGCGGCGGTCTTCGATGGACGTACGACCTACCCCAAAATCCTCAGCAGCCTTCCTGACCGACATGCCATCATCTATCGCTGCACAGGCCTTCCGAACCTACTCCTCGTCCTCCTTGCGCCGGGTCATGCTTAGCAAGAATCCCAAGGAAACGAGGAAGGTGGCTAGCAGCGGGAGCTGTGGTGGCTCCCTCGGTTGTATCTCGGGGTGGAATGCTTGGCGTGCGACGCTGTGGTGCTCAATAGAGAGTATACGATAAAGGCTGACCATTTGACTACGTGCACAGTCATCGATGACTATGCACGTAGTCAAATGGTCAGCCTTTATCGAATAAAAGATACACTCTCGGCTCGTAGCCAATCCCAGTGGATCTGATAGGGTGTAGTGATCTCCGGGGACGGACCCCTCGCCACAAGATGCTGCTATTAGCCGATAATGGTGCCTTGAAAGCGATCCACTGGGATTCGAACCCGTGCGTGAATCCTTTATTGGATAAAGGCTGACCATTTGACTACGTGCA